CCTTAATAAAACTTGTTTCTTTTGCTAAATTATAATATATATTATTAGTTAAATGTTATCCAATAAACATTTTTAAATTAAAAAATCAATTTTTTTTCAATTTTTTTACTAAAAAATCAATTTTTTGCATTTTATACAAAAACTATTTGAATAATTTACCTTTACAACCTAAGAAATTATTTTTTCTCATGTAAAATTATATTTTTTTTAACTGTCAAAATCATACTTTCTTTTCAACTTTTAAGAAGATCTTAAAAAATGTAGCTTTTTAGAACAAAACTTCTTGTAATTGCAAAAAAAAAAAAATTTTTTTTAAGTGGTAAATTATTAAAATAAATGAATAGAACTTAAAACATTCTATCAAAGCAGTATATGTTAAAAAGTTTAACGGCTAACTATGAAAATTACTGTTACACGAACAAATTTAATTATAAAATTGATCTGCATGCGACATGTCTGGCTACTGATATTATAATGAAAATCGCTATATAGAATGTCACAACGTCATGTGTGTGTTACAGTAAAATTAACTACTTCTTATAATCGCAATATTTTGTCGATTTCATTTTGATATTGCCGAGCGGTAAAGGATTTAATCCTCTGAATAAATCACAACGACCAAAACTGGCACTAACTCTACTCTTACATGCAACAAATTAAAATCTAATCTACAATACTTCGGCTATATGTAATAAGACATATTAATTATTTTGGGTCATTTATGTTAGAGGAGAAAAATAGGAAAAGCACTTCTCCAATTCCAATTCTTCGGGCAGGCTAGCTATTCAGGTTTATGTTTAAGACATGATAAAAACATATTTTTCTCAAGAAAAATTGCATCTGAGAAATAATAAAGAATTATAATATAGTTGTACGCCTATTATAATATATTATATATAATGATTTAACGAAAAGATCCTTAATGAACAATACTTACCTCCCACTTCCTTAGCATTAGGATATTTGTGCGTTATCAAGTTCTTTATTTCCTCCCATTGATGATAAGTCCTAACATACAATTTCAAAGTGTTCGGATCTGGCCTGTACCACCAGCCAAACAAGTCCATTGCTATGTAACATTCCATTATATCGCTGTCCTTAACTAGGTCTGTAAAAATTTGAAGATACTTCATTCCTGCATTATTATTATATCCACGGGCAAACATGAATTTTTTATAGTAAACATCCAGGTTTATAATGATAGTTCGTAAAGCAAAGGCTTCTTTGTATTCAGGGTGCCCGACATCCATTTTTTTAAGGCGTTTTAATAATCCTAAAGGTAGATTAGCACAAAGCTCTAATAACTCGGTTGCAAAAAATCAATACTTTACCCTCTGTCCAGAACCACACTTCAATTGTCCAATCACTATCAAGGGCTTCTCTCATTACCGGACCGTAGTCGCCATCTCCAGCGATTAATATGACCGTACCGGGGACGTATTTAGCAATTGTATTACAAACACGTATAGATACTTCTGAGTCAACTTCCTTTTCTCGATTTAGAAAATTTCGGTTGTATGTGAAAACATTATACCCAAGCTCTTTCCTAAGATATTTCCATAATGTATCTTCGGGAGGGGGACGCGAACCAACGACAATAGGAACAGCGCCCATATGTCGACCATCTTGAACCGTTTCAACTAATTTACCGTAATCGATTTGAACCAGGTTTTCTTTCACAGGTTCACGCCAGGCTATCTCCTTTTTTCCTTGAACATATACATTTGAGTTGTCGATAAATATGTATACGGAATCAGTAGTTCCTGCAAAAGGAAGGTTTAGAACATTCGATATTATTAATAAGTATGACAGAAAAAGATTGGCTATCGAAAAATCAAGTCAAGACGTGTTTACTGTGTATTACGACTCACTTACCAATTTTTTCTAACTGAGCCAATTTTTCTTTTAAAGAACTGTTTTCTTGCTCTAACTTTCCAATTATTTCAATCTGTTGATCTACGATAACGCGAATGTGTTTTTTGGGCGGGTTTGACGATAAGAAGCAGGAAAGAAAAGCACAAGAATATGTAAGTAAGTATTCGGTATTATTGGCGAATATAAAAGCACAGGAAAAAACGAAGCTCGCTTACCTCCTTTAATTTCATTAATCAACTTTTCGATTTCTTTAGCTGGACTACCCAGTATCCCCCATCTCTCAAAATCCACTGCAGTAAAATCCAGGAAAGTTCTACCCTTAACCCTCTGAGTATATATTTTATCGATATCCTCGTCTTCAAGGTCTAATCTAGCTCTGTTCTCTTGCAAAAACGTTTTAACTCTCTCTCGACTCCATGCCTTCACTTGTTCAACTTTCGGAAGATTAGACGACATAGCTTTTGCGATTAAAAAAGTATGAAAAGTGTGAAAAAAAATAAAAAAATATATATCAGATTAATCTGACTGATCAGTTACGCAAATTTATTAATACAGATATCTGTCACACCAGCATGGCAGACATTTGTATGATTGGTCAATTTTTATGTCGATCATTTCCTAATTATCAATGAGGAACAGGTGAGACCGTCCTGGTAACACAAAATTCCAACCCCTGTAATCATTGACTGACCAATCAAAACCGCGAATTTTTGATAATATAAAAATCAATTGACC